AACGCTGAGCAGATGTTTTTGTTTAGCAGTCGGCAAGGGCATCTTCTTCTCGAGTGAGCACAATTCCTTCAGGATACATCACCTCCACGAGAGTTTAAATTGCCCCACTATCACCTTGCAGTTGTCAACACTGAATTTTATCGATCAGGTTGATTAAGAATTAGCTACCTCTGTACATCTATGAGATATATAATATAAACATGTAGAGGAAACATGTGAAGTGTTGCTTTTCCATCCCATTTGTGTCAAATATTCACCATTTGTTATTTTTAAAAAGTTCTAACCTCTGATGGACTCCCTTTTCGTCTCCCCATTGAAATACTTCATTTGATAGCTTCAGAGCACTTTGTAAAGATTCTCTGAATGCTCAGCTGTGTTTATGAAATGAGACGAAGTGATGTTTCAGAGTAAGACAGACAGATCCCTAAACTAGAAACGTTCCAAATATTAGAACATAAGGACATCTAAATCACGTCTACTTAGGTTTAATTGAGAAACTGCTTGAAGACTGCTGATATCTAACATAATCAAAATGCTGAAGTGTGAACTTCCCTGGAAACAAAGTGAAACTATTTTGAGTTTGATCCAAAATAGAATTTCTGAAGGGGAAAATTATAATAAAACTGGAAAAAAACTGAAGGACCATGAAAGATTTTCTTTAAAATTGGCATCTAGCAAGCAAAAAATATTATCATTCACACAGATGTGTTATTTCCCAGATGTCCTCTAACCACTGTCTTGTTTCCTTCATACAACTTTAATGATAGAGAAGCACCACTTACATATTGCTTTTTGCCTATAATGTCGAGCCGGTAAGTGTTTCATTTTTCTACCTCTTGTTTTGTAAATCCATCTATCTTCTACCAACTCAAGGTGCCCTATAGGGAGCCCAAAAGGCTATTTTAAAAATAAATATTTCATTGGATACTCAAACTATTATATAGCCGAGAGGGGTGGAACATACTCTTAAATTTTGAACAACTTAATTCTACAACTCCTAGTTTTTAATGAATCTGATATGATCCCCCTTATTACCATTACGTATCAGTTTATTCTTACATATCTATACATATATTCCATCTTACATATATTCCATCTCTGGCATCACTCAGGGCTGGGCTATTTCCATGTTAATTTCTGTGGTGGGAATGTGTTTAGAGAAGTAATTTCTGGATGTGATTGTGGTTCCTTTAAGGTCAACAAACACTTGGTATTTAATACTGTACAAAATCAGCTAGCCTATCCCCGATAGGTCAGTTATTGTGCTGGGGAATGACAGGGTAGGGCTTGTCAGGCTGTGGAGCTGGGATAGTCGCATTCATGTGAAGTAAATAGAAGGCCCAGTGGCTCAGCACCTCTTGAAGTCACGTGTTAGTATGCCAAATTGGACGTTTTTTTTGAAGTTATTTTATCCACAGCATTGCTCACTTATCACAGCATAAGGTTGCCCACCAGAGATCATTTGGTCTGCCCTAGTGCTTTGCTGCCATGGATTGGTTTTCCACCCTGTGGAGCTAGGCAAGGAAGATAAGAGGTGAGAAATACCATGAACAGTGATTAGTAGTAGGTATATTTCAAAAATCTACCTGAGTTTCTCTGGCTTACCTGCTTAGCAGTCAATAAGCAAATAAAACAGTTGGAGGACTTAAACGGGGAACCATACAATGGGTAAACCAGAAAGATTAAGACCAATTTTGGGAGAAGCAGTAAAATAAATAAATAGATAAATAAATAAGACTGAAGTGGGAAGGTGCTCCAGGCTCTGACATATGTTCCTAAAATCAAGCTTGACTATAAGGAGTGATTGTCTCTTAACAACAGAGAGACAAATACAATCTGGAGTTGTGCCTCTGTGAAATTAAATGCTCTCAAACATCTGATATTAATGATAGGAGCCACATATCTCTCAATGACAATCAGTATTTTCCACCTAAGCAACCAAAGAATTTTAGACTTTTCTTTATTGAACAGTGATGAGATTAAAGATAATCTAGTAGTAAAAAATGCCTTTGGGTAGAATGCAGACTGTCCTATTTTGCATTAATAGGAAGACAGATCAAAACAGATCTGTTAATAAGTTTCTATTATGAAAGTGAAAGCTCTGAAAACCTAAGGGAACCAATTACTTAAGTCAGACAGAGAACTTATGGACTTGATAATAGATGGGGCTTGAAAATTACTGAAAACTGCCCAAGCAAGTCATGTAGGGAAATAGTCCAATTCTAAAGGGACTAATTACAGCTTTGGCAGTACGTAAGAATAACAGATTTTGCAACGAATGGAGAATACGGCTACTCATTTTGAAACTTACAATGTGCAGGTGTTATATTAAAAATATAAGCTTACAACTGGATAGCTGCACAGATCAAAATCAGCATGTGTACCTAACCTATGCTCAAGAAATACTGAAAGAATTAACTGAGCAGATTAAATTAAAAAGGCTACAAAATTGTACTAAACTTTAAAGGAAAGATTAATTGATAATGGGACACCATGAACATGTGTTTATCACATGATAGTTTGACTAACTTGATACATTTAGTCACCTGACTTATCCAAAGCAGTGATGATGTGGTTTAATTTTTGTATGACTCTTACTGGCACACAAAGAGTGGGAGCTTACAGTAGGTAAAAGGTGGAAAACATCAGCACAGTGGAAGTTCAGATCATCCCCCAGAGTACGCCTTACAGTTGCAGCAACAGAAAATAAGTAAAACAGCAGGTGACAAAAGGTTATGGGTATTGTGATTCACATCAGTAATTTCTGTAAGTTGGTGGCAGGGTCGGAAATAGGGTCAGAAATGGGGTCATAGTTTGAAAACTTAGAACTAGCAGATTCCAGGATCTCTCTGCTTCCAAATGACTATGATCCATCAACGTAACGACACTATGAAAAAAGATTATAGCTCTAGAATACATCATGATAAGAAAAAGTCCCTAACATTTAACCTAAAAATAACTGTTTTGATTTTAACCACCCATGCTCAAAAATACATTTAAATAGACAGAGTTCAGGGAAGAGGGTGATATTCAGAAAGGAGACCTTATTTTAAGCAGACAAAAGGAACTGGTTTGCCTAGCCCAAAAGATAAACCTTCAGAGATGATGCTTACTCTTTTCAGAAAACATCAAGGAGTTTGGGATAATAGGGAAAATTAACCAAACAAACCAAAACAAGTTATTTAACTTAAGAGCATAGTGAGCTAGGTACAAATAAATACAGTGGAAGTTACATCTGTGATCCGTAAGAGAAATGTGATTCTGTAACAGGCTTCCAGAATTGCCTTGTGCAACAGACATTTGACTTCTCGTATGCAACAGGAGACAATTCACTTTGGACCTAAGAGCTCACATTTTGGTATCTGCATAAAAAGGGTGGGGTTTTTTTTTATAGTACCTAAATTATTCCAGTGAATCCCAACGCCTAAACTGAGAAATTGTAACCTTTTCTGGATTCCCTAGCTGTCTCAGCACTCTGTTCCTGGATTACCTACAGTGCACACAGTTAATTTGCTCTGTAAGACACTCTCAATCTCTGTTGAGAGGCACTCCTCCGCAGACAAGATGTTAAGAAACAAATTATACCATAAAATTATACCTGTCATAGCCATAAAGCATTCTTACTATCCGTATCCATTATAGTTGGCGATTTTTCCTCTCAATCTTCCTTTCTTCATTACTTTTCTGCAGCCTTTACTGGTCCTTAGATCAAAATCACCGTGCTTAAGCTTCCTTTTAGGTCTGCTGAAGTTGTAGCAACAGACAGCATTACTCTGTTTTGTTCCCAGCGCAGACTTTTCAAATACTAGTCATTTGCATTTTAAAGCCACCCCTAAAATCCAGAAATGTCACCCAAAAGCTATTAAGAATGATATTTTATTGCTTTTGTATAAACTTCTGCTGATGGTATCTGAAGACAACCTAGTATTCACGTAGTTTTGAACTATACCAACAGAGCCTCAGTCTGTATGAAACCATTTGGTTCATGAATTGATATGTTACAAGCCACGTTAAATGCACTGTGCTACAGAAGTGTAGCCTTTAGGGGAAAAAAACAAACCAGAAAAACTGCCCTGAAGGAAAGTAACTCAATACTTATCACTTAAGGTGCATTATTTGCAAGGGTGAAGTAACCATTACAGGGTTATGAGTGCTTTCCATACCATGCCTTCAGCCAATGAAGTGGCCACAATAGAAGTGGATATGAAAATGACTTTCTACTCATGCTGTCAGCAGGACCACTAATTTAAACATCTGACTGTCCTATCCAAGTTGGTAGCAGTATCCTGACAGCATTCATCACAGCTCATAGATTACCTTTAATTACACAGGCCCCAGTGTTAGGCGTGACCCTATGCTGACTACAGCTACCAACTGAAAGCTGTCAATTCTTTCCAAACAGATACAATTCTGCAGCAATCACTGCTGTGATAAGGTACAGAATATTTCTGGTCAGTCGTCGTTATTGCTGCTGTATTCATTTTCCAGGCTACCTCATCATCCAAGACTGGAGCCTAATGAAATCTGCAGGGCAATTCTTAGGCTTCTGCTCAGAGCAACAGTAATGCAGCACGCCACAGAGACCTAGTAAGAGCAGATCTTTAGAATAGCAGAGTGTGGAAGCAAAACAAAAAAATACGTTCTCAATTGATCAACCCAAAATACCAAAGCTAAAAATTCTGCAGCATGGATTATCGTGACAGTATACCCACTGTGGGGCTCACTGGTTATAATCTATCCCAGTTTATTGTTCCTTGAGGAGTCTGAAGAGTGTCTGAGAAGACTACATAGCTTAGTAAAACTATTTAAATGTCTATCCAGCTAAAAATGTTAAACTCAATTTCAGTTTTGAAATGCAAATTTTCTCACCCTCTGTTTTCATAATGTAAAAACAATTAGTGCTTCATTTCATGTCAATGCACTGCAATTTAAAGGTGTTCTCTGTATATACCAATTGTCAAAAGCACTTCAGGAGTTTCACACAAAAGACAGCCCCAGACTTTCACATTTAAGATTTTATTTAGACACATCCAGCATGGTACACAATTGCAGCTATCCTTTTTCCACTGACAGATACTGTGCAGACTTCAACTCTGCAAGAAAAAAAAAAAAAAAATTAAATTCAAGAACTCTGTGTTACCTTTGAATCTAGAAAAGCTATAAATACATGCTATAGCTAGAATTTTGATGGGCTTTGCTTCATCCACCATGTGCTTTTGTAGCACAGGCCTTGACTTACATGGAATCATGCTGTTCTAATGCTCAAATTCAACACAAGTCTTAAGAGACAAAAACATCAGACTGGCTAAGGAATTACACAGAAGACCGAAATTTGTTCCAATTATGAGATTCCAGTGAGGATTGTTACTTCCTTCCAAAAACTACCCAAGTCATTCCAGCTCCTAAAAAGGTTTTATTATTTCTCAGATTATAGAATTGACAATACCAGGTAGTGGTGTCCAAAGTGGAATCAGATTAAGATAAATTGAAGTGGCCTTTCAAACGGAACTGGTATGCTTGCAGTTTGAACTATGTCTGAGGTTTGCTTTGTCTGTCAGGATCATCACCATTAATGACCTTATTTTAAGTGGACTTTATACTGTAAATGGTGAGGAACATTGTATGCAGATAGTGTGCTTCTTTTGACATGGCTGAACTGAAATTCAGAAAATCTTGTTTTCCACTGAGTTATAACTGGCACATCAGAAAGCGTTTACAGTATCACAGTTTCTCATACTGTTTTGTTCACATCACATATGCCAGTTATTCCTAAGCTTACATGAAGTGTAGCTTTGTTTTCTCAAAGAAAGAGGTAGGCATTGTTTTGGTCATAGTTATTATTCAAATCAAAGCAGTAGCACTCTTCTGTCAGTTAGCCCAGCTGCAGCCAGAGAGGTGTGGCCTTTGGGGAGTCAAAGTACAAGAGCTGCAGCAGCCTTGTGAAGGAAACAAACCTATTCATAACTTGAGCTAACATGAAACCAAAGACCGCAACTCCAGCTAGCTGGAGTGCGAAAAGCTGAGAAGTGTAATAATTGTTTTAGATAAGGTTTGACTCTTTAAAGCCCGGGTTTGACCACAGATTCCACTATGCTATGAAATCTAACAAAATCTGTTACCCAGTTAGTACAGTTACAGTCTGTCCTCCTCATTTCTTAAGAAGCTGGTGTCTGACTATAAGGAAAGGGGCGACAAATCCACTTCCAAAGAATCCACACATTAATGCAAGTAATCGCCATTTGTTTTCCACAGAAAATGGAAGGTTCTAGAAGACAAAAGTGAATTTTAGTTTTGCACTCAATACAGTAATTACTTTCTCATTGACTTGAAAATGGTGAGAAGCTTGGAGCACTAACAGATGGAGTCAAACTGACAAAATAAATATTCAGCCTCAAAACAATTTGCCTTTGTCTCAAGGAAAGAAACACAGTAATTAGAATAACAGTTTGGATATGAACTCCGGAGGTCATTTTGTGCACTCTCCCCCCATTTCAAAGCAGGGCCAGTTTGCTGAAGACCTCACCCAGGTCACGAATAAACGTCCTTGAAGACACAGACCCCACATGCTCTCTCGGCAACATGTTCTGATACTTAGTTACCTTCACTTTGAAGATTTTCCTCATGTTCATTAGGCATGTAAAACTCATTTTTAGATGCGGGACTTAACAAGTTAAGCACATGGCACATCAGAAAGCGTTTACAGTATCACTGTTGACATTCATATTGCAATGCTCATCACCTGTGCCACTGGAGTGGAGGGTTGCAGGGAAGCACAGGGAAGTAATTCACACCCCAATTCGCTTTCCCGTGGCCGGGGCAGGCCTGCAGCTTCAGCCTCACGGCTTCTGTGCAGCAAACCTACCGATTCACCCCCGGTACCTCACCCAGGAGCTGCGGCGCGGCTCCCCCCTCGGCTAGGCCCGCCGAGGGGCCGGGAGACCGCCAGCGCGGTTGTCCTTCAGCGACACGTTTCTCCCTCTCCCGCTCTCTCCCACAGAGCCATCACCTTTCTCGCAGGGAGACGTTGCCCTCCCTTCCCCTTCATCCTCAGGCAGCACCCCCCCCCCCCCCCCCAGCCAGGCCGCAAGCCTCTTCCTTGCGACCTTCAGGCCACGCCGCAGCGCGCCTTCTCCCCGCGTTACCTTTCCAGGGCCATCCTCGTAGTGGCTCCTACGGAGGGCGGAGGTGGTGAACCTGCGGACACTGGCAGCCAGCATGGTACCGACCGGGGAACGCCGCAAACCTCTGCCCTGCGCGACCTTCCCTCAGCACCGCCGGCGCTTTCCGGGAGCGGGAGCGGAGCGGAGAGGCGGGCCGCTGCCTCGGGGCATGCTGGGAGTTGTAGTCCCGCGGAGGTACGGCCGCGTCACATGGTACCAAGGCGCAGCCTGTGATTGGGCGCGCCCGGCGCCGAGGAGGCGGGAGCCCATCCCGCCTGTTTCCACCCCCGCCCGCCATTTTGTGAGCTGGTCGGTCTTCCTCTCAGCTAAACGGCGACGTCCTCTCTGCAGGCGTGACGGAAGTTCAGCCGTCAGAGGAGGAAGTGGGGGCGATTGCGACAGTCGGAGCGGAAAGCAAATAACCGTCCCCGTGATGCTTCGGGCTGGTCTTGCGAATAGCGCAGTCCAGTTTGCGAAGTAGAGATCCTGAAACTTAGCTTTTTTTTTTTAGGGTAGCAGAGGCGGCGTCGGCGGCGTCGTGAGTCAAAATGCGAGCTTAATCTCTACAGTGCTGCATAAATAAGGGTTACTGGCCGTCCCAGTGAGAGTGGGCAAGAAAAATAGTGAAGGTTTATGTCGTACTGCCGACTGTGAAGAGTGTATTCTGGCATAGTGTTCTTACAAAGTTATACTTCAGCGAAACTTTGACAGTGTGGAGGAAAATAAAAACAAAACACCACCCTTCATGTTTGGGAAAGGAATAAGAAACCCCATGAAGTTATTTCTAAAATTATGGTATCTATCTGTTTTCTTATATAGTTTATTTTATTTTTCAGTAGAAGTTTGATTCTGCTATCTCTTGCAGGAAACAAATTTTAAGTAGCTTTTCTTCATAGTTACCTAACATTTATGGGAGGACTTTTTTATGCTGACCAACATAACATAAAGCGAGGCAAGTTGAGAGAACTGTAAATTTGAGCAGTAAGACATAATTACATTAGCTTTTATTTTAGAAAATCTTTTGGAAAATGTGAAGAGTAAGGAGTTACAGATTGTTTTGAGAGGCAAAGTACTCAAGCAGAAGACAGGCAACATAAAACAACAGTGTTACTTGAATGTTTAACAGTTTAAGTGAAGTGGAATTAAGTACAAAGATTCAATTAATTAAAAATTTATTTTATAAATTTGAAAATGGTACAATAAAAATTAATTTGCACTAGGTGTACTTAAAAATGCGTCAGAACCAGTTAAGGGAATAAGCAGTAGATTTAGACTGAAGTGCATTCCCACACCTGAGTTTTGATGTGAATAAATTAAACTGCAGGAAAATGCAGCAATAAGTATCTATACTTTGGAGCTCAGCACTAGCACTTGAATTGTTTCAGGTTAGAGTGTAATTTGGCTCCATTTCTAACTGAATGCCTTGTAAAACCAGGAATTCTCAGCAACTTTTTTGACCTTGTGGTCAAAAAGTACCTTGTGGTACTTTTTTTCTGTAGTGTTTTGTTGATGATACAGGGTCAAGCCAGTTGGAATTTTAAATTAGATAATCCTCATCCACATGTGTATTGATGTCTTCATCAAAACTTCAAGAGGTTTGTAATGTTGGCCTTCTCGTTATGGAACCAAATTCAACATCCCCACCCTGGGGTTATATTTGTTCATATGTCTGCTTGTTCTAGCATTGTTATAATCTCTGCTAAAACATCCTTACAGATTACAGTTTCACAAACCTGTAGATCTTGGAAACTGTCAGAATAAATGGGTATTGTATTTGCCATGCAAGGGAATTTTGAGTGAGACCTTAGCCTAATCATTAGTAATTCAGGTGATCATCATAACTTTCTCTTAGAGGTTTTACATGGGTGTCATTTCGTCCTGGTTATTAACCAGTGCTTATTTTGTCCATAGATACATCATAGCCTGTTAATGCAGATCCTGTTCTGTCCCCCCTCACAAAAAAAGTCTGTGTCATGCAACCAAACTATGTTTCTTCTGCAGTGAATATCAGTGCAGAGAATCCATTTTGGCACGTCTGCAAATGGCCTTGTCATTTCTAGGTGCTTCTTCATTCCTTGACCATTAATAGGTCATGCAGAACTCTAGGACACCTTCTACCACTGTTTGTAGTTTAGTTGTGATTCCTTTAATTAGTTGTTTTTTTTTTTTTTTTGCATTTCTTTTCCTCTGTGTAGTTATATTTTTAATTTTATATGTCAGAGTTTAAAATTATTCATTTGCTAATTCTTAAGTGTATTGGAGGTTGCTTTCCTGTTTTTGTTAACTTCCCTTGATATTTAGGTAGCCAGGCCTCTTTTCCTCCCTTTCTCAAGCTTCTCCTAATCAGAATTAATAGCACAGTGGTGCTCTGCTTCCTGTATGGCTGTCTGCTTTATCATCTTTTTAACAAGTGTTCTTATGTAGCTCTTCTCTTCCTCTAAGGGATTTTATGGTGTTTGTTGCTGCTGAAGCGATACTGAATATAGGTATAAAGATCTGTGTTACACAGTGGCACTTCAGTGGTGAGATTTTGTGTGAGATGAAGGTCGTTCATGTTGTTCAGGACCAAGTAAAACATTTGTTTTCTTCTTACAGTCTCTAGCCAACTGATTCACTCAGCAATCGATACGGTTTAAATATTACTTCTCTGTATAACATCACAAGGTAATTTTTGCTCAGTCTACTCAGGGGTAATTTTAGCCACTCAGTGGAATTGCAGTTCTTGTCCTAACGCTATTGTAAATTTCTTCATCATGCCACAGCTGGTGTTGCCCTCTTGGCGGGGAGAGTGGTGTCACAGTACTATGTTGCTGCTGGGCTTAGACCTGCCACCCATATAGATTTTGTGTTATGCAGTAAGGCTATTAAGTAAAAACAGATACTAACCACTGTGAGGTAGAGAATATTACCCCACCAGTGTCAGTTTACTCACTGCCTTTCCTGTGTATATCGAATCCTCCTAATACAGTGTTTTGCTGATTGACTTAATTCTAGTGAGTTTATGATAGGCTGATGTGTCATGGTTTCCTTTTAGGGCTGTGTTGCATATTTCCACAGAAATTAACGTTAGAAGTGACAAAAGCAGTAGATATGGTACCTGGACGTCCAGATAATCCAGAAATCATCTAGGTTGACTCCTACAGTCATACAGTTACAGGCCTTCATTGGAAATAGTAGTTTACTCCTTGAACTAATGGTTTACATATGTTTTCTAGGTAGACAGAAATAGCGGTCTGTAGGTAGATAAGATAGAAAGTGATAGATCTTCAGGAGGAGGAGTTACCTGTTTTACAGCTGGTGAAGAAATTTGTATGAATGCTCATATATTTGTTCTTCAGAGTATAAACTAGGAAATGAGGTATGCCCATCCAGGCGTTTGAGAAAACTATGAAGGAAATGTTTAGAGAAACAGACTCAGTTGCCATCGATTGGAATTTGAAATGAAATGAAAGATAGTATCTCTCAAATTATTAAAAATATGATGTACAGTAATGATAATGAGGATAATGAGGTAGCAGGGCAGATTATTATAGGAGTTGGTCAATACTCCACTGGGTGCCTTTGTAAAAAGACTGTCTAACTCACATACAAATTTTGGGCCTTACAATTACAGGGTGAAATTACCTGTCCTGTGTTAATGTGGAGGGTCAGAACGGATGATTAGAATGGCACCTTCTGGCTTTTAAATCTATGAATCTCTGAAACTAGGCTTTTAAGTCACATACGGCTTATTATATCTACAATTCTTCCTTCCTTTAAAAAACCTGTTACTATAATTGCTTAGATTTGCCAGGTTACCTTCTTCATCTTCAATAATGTACTGCAGTTTGCTGCTTGTGAATGTGACTTGGTGATGAATTCTTTCAGGTGCTGCTTACTTACTGCTACCCACTTTTCCCCACAAAGAACATTCCTCTTCTTGAAGTATAAGGTAAAAATATAAGTGAGAAAAAACCCAGGTAGCTGAAGAAAAGAAAGCTTTATATCTATCTTTTGTTATCTTGATGAGAGAAACATAGAAAGCTTAGTGGACATTTTTGCAAAATACACAGGGCCATACAGGGCTGTGCATTTCCAAGCTGATCATGCCAATCACTGAGATGCAATGATAGAACTAAGGTACAAGTCATACTGACTTTTTCAGTCTTGTTTTGTGAGTGAAGGAAACAGCTGTCTTTAAATACTGAAATTTTATGTGGTTAAGTTCAGATGCATGTACTTCATAAAAACTTTTTAATACCATAAAATCCCTAAATTTTTTAGCAGAGGTTTCAGGAGACAAAACAACTTTCATCTATGACATGAAAATACTGTTTTTCTTCAGAAATCCCATATATTTATTGACAAGGTAAATTATTTTATGGAGCAGTGAAAATTAGGAGTTAACCTCCCTCTGGTCATAAAGTCAGATATTAACCACAAGATTAAGCAGTTGTTAAATGCAAACTAATGAAGGGGAAAGGCTGAACAGAAGCTGTAAGAAGCATTATACAATGGAAATTAGTTACATATTTTTAGCAGAACTATGAATTAACGGGTATCTTTTATAGAAGTAGGGTAATTTGTCAGTTTCTTACTCTAATTTCACAACTGTAGAAGTATGTATTTCATAACAGTAACTTAGCTTGCCTTATATATGACAGCTTTTTTTTTTTTTTTTTTCTTCTTTCAGTGGAGTATTCTGGAATGTAAAAGTATGTTACAAATATAAAATAATCAGAGAATAGAATTAAAAATAACATGGGGTTTGCCAACCAAAACCAAAAGGTGTTAGTATGTGAATCATCTCTATGGAACATATACTTTCTTTGCTTCCAAAGACCCCACATAAGTCTCTGGAAAGTGAAACAGAATAGTAGGAAGAATTGTCCTGCGGAAATGGTTACAGTGTTGTTGTGGATGTGGATAGTATAAGGATGCTTGAGGGAGATGGTTGTTAGGAGAAGTTATATCTTTTATTATATTATTACAGATATAGTAGTTAAAACTAGCCAAGCTTCCAAATGTGCAAGCTTTCCTTAAGGTGTGAAATTGATGGAGTTATTTTGAAAGGTAAATACAGACTAAAAATAGTATTTGTAAGGCATAGTTCAAAGGACACTTTTTTTCCCTCCAGGTGTTTTTTTGAGTGGATCAGTTCACATATGCATGTGTAGTTGCACAAAA